AAAATAGCAGCAACATCAAAGATGTGCAAAATGACAGCAGCATGTTATTTAACTGACTAAGGTAGAAACTGTGCAAAATCAGCATGAATGTAACAACTTATTGAGGTTGTTGGGAACAGTGGTTTTTATAGAGTCTTACAGCTGCTGGGAGGAAGGATCTGTGATAACGCACCCTGGTTACTTAGGGTGCAGCAGTCAGTCACTGAAGAAGTTTTCCAGTTCTGCAACAGCTTCATGCATGGGATGGGAGACATTATCCAACAGAGATGTTAATTTAGTTAGGACCCTTCTATTTCCCACCTCCTGCACAGAGTCCAGAAGGCATCCAATCACATTACCACACTTAAATAAATTCTTTCTTAAGGGATGGAATCAGTTAATTGGTGGATCAAATTTTGATCTAATACACCATTCATTGACAATCATAGGTAATTTTTATTCTTTCTTTGTTCTTTTACATTTCTACTTCAAATGCTGGGATGTCTTTACACTCTGATTCCAGTCGCTGAATTTGTATATCTACCGATACTGATCTGATCCCAGAGCTTGTTGTTGTTTAGGGTTTTATTTTAAGAGGCTGTAATGAACATCTCTTTACAGGAAAGTTCGATAAATATGAATGTAAACCTGTGTCTCTCCTGAAAGTCAAATCAAGGTAATAAAAGCAAAAAAAAATCTCATCCTGATGAGGAAAAAATTTAAATTCTATTTATTAAATCAGATGGATAACCATAAAAGGAGAATTTTACTGTTGTTAAGATAAAGCCGAGCTTTATCTTTACCACTTCTGATATAAGTCCTTTATATAATTCCAGATGTTTGAAATGCTTAAACCACACTGTGGTTGTGTAGCAGGAACTTTTAGGTGAAGTTATTAAAGCTCAGACATGGTTTATTAGTGGGAAATGTCCATGCATTCAATTCAGTTTGTTTATATAGCTCCAATTCACAACACGTCATCTCAAGACCCTTTGCAGAGAGTTTTCTTTCTGTACCCTCTGGGAGTTGTTTTCAAATGTAGCTTTTTTTCGCTGTCTAGATGGGAGCTCCAATCCTGAACCAAGCCCTGGTTAAAACCAACTACTAATCTTTTCTTTTGAAACTTTTTGTCTTTTTTTCCCCAGTTTTATGTGGTTTGAATTCTCTCTTTATTTCAGGTGCGGACCTGACGTGTTCGTATTCAGCAGACTTTGGTTCAAACCCCAGGGTAGAGTGGAAATTCAGAGACAAACAAGGGTCAACAAAGTATGTTGTTTTTGATGGCAAACCAACAAGTAAGTGGAAATACTTCTGTTTCTGGGATTAAGAGGAAGTCTACCATGATCTATAAATCACATTTTAAAATATCTATCAGATAGATTTTTGATTGAAACATCTAAATTAACACTAACTGAATAACTGCTACAACAAATGTCTGAAATTGACTGAAACAAAAGGAAAATGACCCTTAATTGATAAGACACAGAACTTACAGAGCATCTTCTATCCATCCAGGCCAATTAAGTCGTCTGATGACTCTGATTCTTCTAAAGGCTGTCCTGTAATTGTTCATCTCCTTCACAGGCACATACGAGGGTCGTGTGACCATGTACGGTGGCAGTAACTTGAGATTCGCCAAAGTGACTCGTCACGATAGTGGTGAATATATCTGCGAGGTGTCCAGCCAACAGAGCCAGTTTGCACAGATCACCGTTACTCTGATCGCTCTGGGTAAGCACCACTGAAACATCTGCATTTCTGGTCAAACACACAAAAATAGTGTCACAAAATAATCTTTTTGCTCTTATGTGGTTTCTGTAGCAGTGTTTATTTCTTTCTATTCTAGCTTAAGAGAACGAAAAAATTTAATAAAATCACTTTTCACATTTATATTTCCACAACTAACGTCTACATTGGATTAGATTGGCTCATTGGTCTGTGGTTAAAAAGGCGTGATCACACCCTGGACACCTGCTGCACATGGTGTACTAACATTCAGAATCAGAAATACTTTAATAATCCCAGAGGGAAATTACTTTTGTTACACGCTCCAGTTACAGTTTTATATATATATAAATACACATCCAACTACACAAGATAATAAAGATAAAAATAAAAATAGTCATGGCACCAACACGAGAGATGTCTTTTAAAACAAAGGAGAGGATTACTAAACTTCTTAAAGAAGGCAAATCATGCCGGGGCACGTTTTGTCATCTGGGTCTTAGCAACCACAAAACAGGATTCAGTTGGAAGCAGTCGGCATTGGCTCAGTATTTTTCGAAATGTTTCAGCACCTAGTCAGCAGTATTGAGGGCAATCTCTGGTGGGAGGGCTAACGTTTCTAAGCATCTGGAGACCCATCCTCCAAATAAACAATTTCCTGGTCAGATGTAAATCATCACGCAATGTTGGTCAGTCAGCTGTGTGACCAATAAGGACATCAGAACATCCTGACAGAATAGTTTAAGCAATATATCTAAAGCAAAATGCAAAAAAAAAAAAACTAATCGTATGAAAATGGAGGTGCCATTTATGATTGAAGTGTCAGAGCCTACTTGAAGAAAACTGGATTGACATCCAAAGATCTAAATCAACACCCAAGCAGAAGAAAACAGGTTTACAGTGGGCTAAGGAAGAGCACCATTTGACTGGGGATGACTGTGTTAAAGTCATATTTAGAGTTGAATTAGGAATCTGTACTGGGAAAAGGGATGATGATGCAACTTTGGTTTGGTGTAAAATCTGCACATTTCCAGACTTGAAGATGGCTACCTTTACACCTTCATACTTGCCGCTAATGATTTAAAGAAAAAGTCAGGCTAATGTGGTTGAATACCAGCAGTTTTTAATCTCTTATTTGTTAAATGATAAAGTGTTTGGTCTCTACTAACCCCATTTAGCCATCTAATTTATTTTGATAGTTAACATGCCAAAGCTTTGCTATCAGCCCAGGTGGAGTAAAAGTATGTTAAAATGAATTCACATTTCTGGGGTCAATGACGCTGAGGTATCAGGGTAAAATTCATAGTTGTGTTTAAGCTGTAGTAAAACCTTCAAAGAACACAATGTTTTCACAACCAGCTGACATGGATGGAAATATTTACTGACTATTAAAAAAAAAACAATGAGATTAGTTTCTGAAATATAAATAAAATGCCCTACCTATATTCTTTATTTATTCCTGTCCATGGTTAATATTTGAATTAACCATTTAGACTCTTTAAGTATGGAGAGAATTTGATTGTTATTGCAAGCAAAGAATACATTTTGTATATCAAAATATGAAAGGAATGCAATAAATAAATTAAACTTGGAGAAAGTTTTTAATCCAAAAAAGGGTTTGAGAATAATTTTGCTGTTTTGTCACTTTTATTTTTCCCTTTAATTCTGTCAAATTTGTACATTATAATTTTTTTTTTATTTTTCAGTTTGAGCTTTATGAAGTGAATTCTTTTCAAATGAGATTTCCTTATCACATTCTGTTCAATTTAAGCACAAAACAAACATTAGCTCTTAACACGCACATTGACCAATATGTCCATGCAGCTCAATAAAAGTGCATCTTTGCTCCTCACTACAGTGCACCAGGAAGTAAAAATAAAATTTGATCTGCAAAAGGAAAACTCTTAACACCTAATTTCTGGACTTGACTCTCTTCTAATTAAAAAAGTTAAGAGCTGAAATAAGGAACTGTAAATCTTATTCCAGTGCCACCATCTGTACCAAAGTGTGGAATCCCCTCATCGGTGACCACAGACAACACCGCCACCCTTTCCTGCTTCGACCCTGACAGTTCCCCTGAGCCAGAGTACCGTTGGTACAAAGACAACACCCTTCTACCTGCTGACCCCAGCAAAAATGTTAACTTCAAAAACGCCACCTATAAGCTGGACCCTAAAACTGGAAAGCTGGTCTGCTATTACTTCAAACTATATATGCCTTTTTGTTTTCTTTTTTTTGTAACTCATCTTTGTGATAAAATTACATTTTTGGATGCAGGTGTTTCCTTCGGCAAAGAAGATGGACACTGGGAATTATTACTGTGAGGTCCTGAACGAGGTTGGTCCCGCACAGCGCTGCAAAGGTGGAAGAATGGAAGTCCGTAAGTCTTCCTTCGCTATTTCTTTTAGTTATTCACATTTAGTTATTCTGATTTAATTTTGGCAGTAACAGTGCAGAAGTTATTTGCTTCTTTATTTTAAGAAGTTTAACTCTTTCCTACTGAAATTAAGGGGTTAACAAGTGTTTAATTAGATTAGGGGAAATGCATTATGGGTCAACCTGCTAACAGTCGGCATTTGGCTCCCTTCCCATTTGCAAAAAAAGAACAATCTGTACTATCCAGCTTTTTTCTCTTCAGTTTTTATGGTCGTTACACTGTCACAAGTACACAGCAACATAATTACCTCTCTGCATTTAACCCATCCCCTTGGGGAACAGTGGGCTGCCATTGTGCGGCACCCTCTGCGGACCCAGAGTGGCAGTCTGTGAGAGTGAGGTTCGAACTCAGAACCTCTGGATTCGAAGCCAATAAGTTTCGGCTTATTCTCTGACAGTCACCTAGTTACCATTCAAAGCTGTGCATCCTGTGAAATAGGTTGAATCCTCGAATAAAAAACGAAAATGTATGACTTCGCCTTCGATATTTTCCCTCCCTAAAAATAGTAAGCATACTAAACTATAATGTGTCAAAGGTTAATAATATATTTTCTGAGAACATAAATGCATTTGTTTTATCACTCGTCTGTGCCTTATCTGTGCTGGAAATGGGATCTTACGCTACTTCCAGGAGCTAACTTATTCTGCTTTTTCTGTTTGTTTTTTTTAGTTTCATTTTTTTTCCTTTGGTGTTAACCTTATGGTACATAGTGCGTAACCTAAAGAAAGAAACAACAAAAATGCAGATGAACATGGTTTAATCATATTTTGCCGGACTACTCTGAAAATGATAATGATGACGGACAAGCAGTTTAAGGTTTTAGCAAGTTTTAGCATTCTTTGGAGATTTAGGGATAGAAATAACTACCTTTAGTATCATAATTGTATTATTTATGGCGACCTGGATGAATATCTTTTTGCACATGCACAAATGAGTTGATGGTACGGATCGTGCTTCCGCTTCGGATAGTGGCAGGTCTAACGCCTCTGTTCCCACATGGCTGGTACCTGGAGACGCCATCATGCTGGGTTAGCGTTGATGATGTCACCAATGTGACAGAAATCAGAAAAGTAAACAATGGAGAGCAACATGTAAGGGAACCAGGGCATAGTAAGTGAGCTTTAATGTTTCGTCCCTCTGAATCCGTCTCACCACAGCTGCACCATGTTTGTCGAATGCAAGCAGAAATCTTTTGGCTTGTTAGATCAGATGCGAGAGGCGTGGTGTTGTCATACCTTACCTACATTGCATTGCGCTCAATGTTATTGCGTAAATTTGTGGGTCGACCAGGCTCTGATGTTCCCACCGTATGCCGATTGGAGCTGATCCATTTGAAGGAGAATTTAACCTGGGCTGCTTGCTGGAACGTTTGACGTGGGTCAGTGAGCCATTCCCGTTTCCACTATAAGTGGATTGTTCTGGGTTAAACAGGTTTTGCGGCCAGTGGGAAAGGGGTATATGGGGCGCCAGCTGTCGTTCAGGCCTGCAATTGTGTTTGCTTGCTAGTTGCCAGGTACGCTGATGCTAACATTTGGTTAGCACTAGCTAACCAAAGGTTAGCTAGTGCTGTAGCCTGTGGTCACCATCTTTGGTGACCACAGGCTACGATTACTATTGGTGCAGAATCATCATCAATTTTGGCATCATAACCAAAGGAAGGTTACGGTTAATAAAAGGTTTGACCTATAAATGTACCAAGAAGGCCACCGTATAAAAAACCTTTTACATGAGAATGTTGACAAGAATATTGTATGATCCTTGCTTTGTAACGGAGCACATTTTATGGCAAACCACCATGTTGTCCAAAAGCAGCTCAACATTTGTCTGATCATCATGTCGGTGCTTGTTGTTCTAATGTTCTTTCTATGACTGGCAGAACCGCTCTAACATAGGAGTTTTTAGAGATACTCATTTGAATTTGCTTTTCTCAATAAACCAGCAACGTTGACATTTACATTTCCAGAAGGCATTATTTATACATTTTTCGGACCCAAACTTATGCAGCCATTATTTTTATACTATGCTCTTTTCAATTAAATTTATGCTTTTTTCTGCACCACTCTAGATGTTCTGTGGAAGCATAATTTTTGAAAAATGAAGTGTTTTGATGGAAAAAAAATTATACCTATGACCTTTAAGCAAACTGTATCCATCCAATCATTCCTTCTCTAAATGTTTCTTTATAATTGGGATGTTTTCTTCAAGGTGACATGAACACTGGAGGGATTGTTGCCGGGGTAATCATTGGCCTGCTGCTCTTGGGTGTTCTAATTGGGGGTGTTTGGTACGCCAACAAGAAAGGATATCTGCCCAGTAAGTTTGCTGTGCTTCATATTCATATGCTTTTATTGTATAAAGTTATTCATAAGGATCTGTATAGTGAGGCACATATGTTTAACAGCTGTTAGTTTGGTTTCCATCTCGCACATTCTGTCAAAGATGGATTAACCTTTTTTGTGATGTCAGATTTAGGCTGGGACATATTAATTAACTTTATTCCTCTCTCTCCCTCCATAACAGAGACAAGCCAAAGGTAAGAGAATTTTTGGTTTTGAAAAAATGCATAGTTTAGTTAATCAGTTCAGTGTTTTAAAGCGATTTGATTTAATTAAGGAACCAAAAAGATTCAGAACATTTAGGTCACTTCAGCTTCTGGTTGAACTTCTGCAGCATTTTTTTCCTATAAATTAATCTACATTCTTTTACCGTTACTAAAGAAAAAAAAATCTTTTACAGATTTTGTATGGCAACAGGAATTGAATATATATGGTTAATGAGCACGTTTGTTTTATAGAGATCTAAGTTTTTTCACATTCCATCAAACTAGGATTTTATTTAAAATTTAAAAGGTGTTGATCTTTTGTACTCAATCACAGGATACACTTATATTTATAAATAGTCTTAACCTGTGGTTGTTCAATCTGGATTTTATATCCACCCCTTCTGTGAAGGTTGTTTTTGTAGAGACAGTCGGTGAACAGGATCATGTAGGGCAGTAGTCTGAAGCTGCAAGCCTCAAGGGTCAGTGTCCTGCAGCTTTTAGGCTACATATCACTCAAATCCAATAGTTTTGTCCATATTCGACTCCCCTTCCCATGAAGGCCAGGTCACACCACTTGTCTCTGGCTTATAAAGGCTCACACTACACGTCGGGGTTACCTGATGTCCCGATGGTTGCAGCCAACGCGCTGATGAGGAACACATTTAAACTATTTCTCCCATTCAACTGGGTCAAATCATGAAATTTTCAAATTTTTCTTCAATGTAAAGAAAACAGAGCTGCAGTCTTTGTCACAGCTAATCATAAAAAAAAAAAATTAAACATAAATATATGGAAACTACTAATTGCAGCTCATGGATTTTCCTCTGTCATTACAACCACCATTTAGTATCACTTGCTTTATTCATTTCCATTAAAATAATATTATTAACTAAAATCCTATCAACTACATAGCAAATTAATTCACATAACTGCTAAAACATTGTTTTTAAAACCACCAATCTAATTTGAAATCAGACCGGGCCACATTGGACTAGAAAGAATTGATTCTAAATCTTCAGAATGGGATTGATACTGAAAGTTGAATTGATACCCAGCCTCACTTCTAGGAACCGTCGCATGTGTTAATAACTGAGCCATTTAGACAGAAGTGTGATGGAGGTTACATTTAATTCTATTCATTAGCAGCCACAGGAAAAAACACTTTTGACAATAAAATTTGGAAATGAGCATAAAGACCTGCTGTGTCAACGCAGCAGAACAATCAGCAAAGCACATGTAAAGCTGTAGACTTTCCTGTTTTTCCTTTATACTTCACTTATTATTAATCCTAATAAAACACCTTTGTTGTTTTAAACTTTAAAAAACCCAAAGAATTTAGAGCGTTTGAATAATTTTGCATGTTGTCATAAAGCAACTTTTTTGCTCATTTGGTGTGGAGGAGATGCTGATTGCTACAATTTTATCCCGTTCCACAAAGTTTCAGGTTCTGATAGATTTGTCAGAGCAATTGCTTTAATATGTTTTTTTGCTGCCCCTCCCCCCTGCAGAAAAGAGCAGCACAGTGCGGTCTACCAACCTCAATCGACGTACGCTGATGGTTTGGAAGATGACGTAAGAATTATGCAGCTTTTCTTTGCTCATTAAATATTTTCTTTAAGATCAAAGTGATTATTCTGAGTGAGTTTTGCTTTGTCTTTCAGGGGGATTTCAAACAGAAGTCGTCATTTGTGGTGTAGTGGGCAAACTTAAATTCACTTAAATTTTCTTCCTGAAGAACTTTTTTTTTTTTCCTGAAGATTTTCTATGCAGGTTTTATGACCCAGTGTGATGCACCTCATTTATTGATTTCACTGTCGCATATCTGCGATGTAAGGAGATATTTTGTATATTGATAGTCTAAGTTAAATGTGGCCTTTAGCTTTTTTTTATTTGCCAACTTGTTTCTGCTCATGATTAAAACAAATGTGTGTGTTTTTTATTTTCTCTTGCCTTAATAACATCTTCCCTCCATTCATTGATATTTGTATGTAAGAACATTGCTAGTCCTCAGTAAAGAACAAAACCCTTTGGTCTACATGAACTCACAAAGCTAAACCAACACATGATCTATGCTTTTTATGTTATATTTACTGAGAATTGCCTTATTGGTGACTAGTGCAGCTCTCTTAGCTTAATGGCTTTACTAAGCCACTGTTTAAGCAGAACATAGTAGTGATGCTTTTAAGGTTTCTTCATGCTTGTAGACTTTTCTGGCACAGTATGTTGTGTTTAGGTTAGTTGGTGCTGTGTTGAAGGTCTGATTTTTAACAACAGTTTATGCATTTTATTTGAAAAGGGTCAGATTTTAAGTTAAGCTAAGTCAGCCGTACAGGTTTCACCTAATTCCGCACTCAGTTTTTGGCTCTGGTAACCTAAAACTTTGTGAATTTTTAATGCTCTGTTTTCAGCGCACATCATGGCCCAGAGTAAACAGTCAACCTGTACTGTATTTTTTTTTGTGATGTCACAGCTGTTGATTAGGTCTGTATTAAATAAAAAGTTGTTAAACTGTTTTCTTTAATTGGTGTAAATTGTTTATTTTAAAATAAGATGAAATTCTTCCTTTAATAAGATAATGTGTTTTTCAGTGATCATTGTTGAAACCCATTACGAAAATTCAAAATGTGAATTATAGATTGACCAATGCAAGCTTTTTTTAAGGCCGAATGCCAATTATTTTGACATCAGCCTAATGCTATGTTCATACCGAACGTGATTTGAGCAACAGAAGCAGCCGGTTTAAATGGAACATCTATGGTTTCGGTGCATCAAAAGGTCCTGCAGCATGTCTCGTGCAGCACATCTTGACGCAGCTGAATCAGCTCTTCAGGAGCTTCTGACCATCAGGGGAGAGTGACGTGCTTCATAAGCAGCAGATGCTGGAGTTGGAAAAATTTAACTTTTGCTGCTCGACGTGCCACATCAACCAATTAGAGAAGCTGATCTGGGAGCTGAGAGATTTTCTAATTTTATTTTTCAAATTTCTCTTTTTAACATAGAGTTTTGTTCATCGCATCCTCTTCAAATGATATTTTACATATCAAATTGTCATTACTTCCAGCTGGCTCTTCATGTGATATTGGCCAATAGTGAGATATGGAGATGGTTGCATATCTGACTCAATAACCATCTTAATTAACTACATTAATTAATTTCAGACAAATTCTCACATGCTTGTATTATATTAAACTGCACTTATAATAGCCACTACTGCATTAAATGAAGTTAAAATAATTTTAAATAAACAGCAAAGTTCCTCTGAAAACCTGTTTTTGATTTAAAACATTTCTCTAGATTCCACTTTTTTTCTTTCAAATTTCAATTTACAAAATGTTTTTTTTTTTCTTTACAAAACATGTTCTTCCAACAATAATGGAACAAAATTCACTCCATAAATGGTCCCTAATAGTTCATTAAGCGGTAGCATGCCCATTGGCAGCAGGTTAGAAATAAAGATTGAAGTCTTTAATGCTTGAACTGGTTCTTTCATCCTTCAGTGGGAATGTTCTGTTGTTTAAGCAGCCAAGTTCTAAATGCAAAAAATGAATGTGATATTTTGAATGTTTGTCAAATGGGTATTAAAACTTTACATATTACTGGATTTTCCCTTAGAGTTTTTTTTTATCGATGTAATTTAAGAAACTGACTCGGGACTGTTATCATGATGCTCCTGATTTTAACAGCTGCTTTTATACAGTTGATCAGGAATTTTAATCTCTCATTTGGAGCAGTGTGCGGGGTCAGGTATTTCAGGTCCTATTTGTTAGTCAAGGTTTTTAGTTTTGTGCCCTCTGCTGCTACTCTTGAGTGTGGGGTCCCACATGGGTCAGTTTTAGGCCCCTTGCTCTTCTCATTCATTGTATTTTTTTTTTAAACATGGGGAGTTTCCACTGGTTTGCTGAGGACTCCCAGGTTTACAGAAAACAAAAACAGAAAAGTTGTCTAAACCTGAAAACACAGAAACTCTGACTTTTCTGGTATACAAAAAGAGTTTATTCAACCTCTGTTTCAGTGACCATGGTAACATTCTCCCCTGAGCTAAACTGGTCATTAGCAGGTCTTCTTCAGGAAGAACCGATTATCCTCTGTCTCCGCTCTCCCTACAGCCAATCACGTTGTGTTATTTCCTGATTTAGTCAGATTTTTGTCACATTAGGTTTTAAAAACAAACATTTCATGTCCATTTGCTGAGGATCTTATTAAATAATGATCTGCTGTTGTTCACATACAATAAAATTTATAGGGAGAGGATTCTGTAACTCAGTTGACAGGGCATTAGATTACTTGTTTTGGGTTTGTTTAATATGAGAAAGATGCATATAATTTTATTTTTAGTTAGGTATATTAAGAGTACATGAAGAACAGCTGCAATTATTTTCAGATTACACATAAATAGATTCATTGATTCTGCAGGGGATAAGGAATAACTTTAGGGTTAGGATAACCAATTACTTACTACACTAAACAATTCAGAATTGGGGTGAAAATATGCACATTTTGCAAAGCTGACATTGAGTTAATTAGGCATCTTTTTTAAAATTCATTTGAGAAATCAGTTAACTTTTCAACAGTGTTCCAGCACTGAATAAATTGCAAAGAAATATTTACTGCCGTTATTTAGATTGGACATAAAAAAAATGTAAATACATTAATAGATTTAGGGAAATAATTAGCCTATATTGTCAATATCTGATTCTAAGATATGATTATTTTTTCTTTCTTGAAAACTTCTCATGTTATTTAAGATTTTTACTAGCAATCTTACTTGCTGTACCGTTAAATAAATAAATAAAAAAATCTTTGTTGCTATGACAACTGATAATGGCGGACTATTCTCATACACCGCACTGCGCATGCGGGAAGTAACGACAACCCCTTTGCATGTCGTAGACAGGAAGTGTGAGCAGCTTTTTCCACCATTCAGATAATCATCCCAGCGCTAAATAGATACGTGATAAAAACAACGCCAACTGGTTCATCCCTTTTGGTTTAAAGGCTTTAAAGCGCCTGCCCTGCTTTGCTGCCTCCTTAACGGAAGGGGTCGCTGCTGCCCCTCCGCTCCCTCACCAGGCACCATTCATGAATTAAACAACATTATTAGGGGGAGGGAGGGCATAACTGGTTCAAGTCTGTCGCATCTGATTTTTCGCTCAGCGGACCGGATGCGAGGGGCGAGGCAGCAGCCAGATGTGTTCACCGCTGCAGGAGTGACTTCTCATGGCTGAGCCCCCTGCTGATGGTTTTGGTTTCATGTCGAGCAGCAGGAGGAGGAGGAGGAGGAGGAGGCAGCAACTCGCTCCAGCTCACAACTCAAACATGCTCCTCGCACTTTCTCGATATTTACGTGCTTCCGTCCAGATCGAGTCACTCTGGTTTAAATAGCTCGTAGCTTCCGTCTCTATTTTTTTTTCTTTCTGACTGCTGATAAATGAAAAGGCATCTGCGGAGCTGAGGCGCCGATGGGGCAGTGAGTTATGGCAGCAAAGGAGGAACTGTACGCCAAAGTGACACCGCGGAGGCAACGCCAGAACCGACCCAACACCATCAAAAATGGCTCCACTCTGGACGTGCTGCTGTCCATGGGCTTCCCCAGAACCAGGGCGTGAGTGAACAGCTGCTCTGTCAAAACAAACACGAACAGACACACCGGTTGCGTTTCCGTCCCGTCCATCTCTACATGTTGACATATCTCAGCATCTCTGCTGCTGCTGCTGCTGCTGCTGCTGCTGGTCCTCTTTGCTTCTGGTGGCTCCATATTAGGGCCCTCCATCATAACGGCTTTAATGTGACAGCAAAAAAATACAATACATCTTCAAATTTAGAAAACTGAAAGCTGAAATATTTGGTTTATAATTTGGATGTCGACACATATTTATCTTGTTTATTACACTGGTATATATATATATATATATATATATATATATATATATATATATATATATATATATATGTATATTTGTGTGAATAGAAAAATTATCAAATAAAATAAAGTATTTTAACAGTATAAAACTTTACACCTGGAGAATAAATAACCAATATACAGCTATGGATGTGCAAAATGACAGCAGCATGTTATTTAACTGACTAAGACAGAAACTGCAAAATCAGCATGAATGCAACAACTTATTGAGGTTGTTGGGAAAATGTTTTTTAATTTATTTATTTTTTTCTATCTCTGATATCTTAAATAATGACACAGAAGTGTGGGACGTTACATCTAAATTTAATCTTGATCCAATTTCTGATGATCAAGACAGAGCTAAATCCTGTAAAAAACATGAAAGCTTTCAAATGTAAGGACTTGGTTAAATCTAACACTTCTTAATTTATGTATAATTTAAAGAATCTTCCTATTCACATCCAGGGATTATTTCAAAGTAAAGATATAACATCTAAGGCAGTGACATGTTTAAAACATGGTTAAAACAAATATGAAGCAGCATTGTGTTTCTGTTGGGCTGAACACATGGAGTAAACTCAATTCAGAGGTAAAATACTGTTCAAAATGTATCCAGTTTAAAAACATATTAAAATAAAGAATTATAAATGAAGCTGACTGTATTTTGGGGGTAAAATCAGCTTTTTCTATCCATTGCCTTCCACTCATTGTGTAAAAATCTTTATTTATTGAATTACTTTGTTCAAAATGTCTGAAGAAAACATAAATAGCTTTAAGATTAACTGAGGACGTTAGCAGAGTCTAGTTTTCACATAACCTGACTGTCAGCTTTAACACCAACAGCTGCCCTTTTAAATTTATTGATTTAGAAATTTGAGTAAAATACCACAGTACTACTCATAAATGTAGAATAAAACACTATAACATGAAGTAATTGCTTTAATTTCTGATTTGTTTATGAGTTTACTACATCATGCACATGGAAAGTGCTAAAAGTTCCTGCACTGTAAAGTAATATTTTCTCCACTTTTTTACCAGAGCCAGACATCGACTGCATTATTCTGATCAGAATTAAATTCAGGGGCTCGCTTCATCACCTACCAGGCACCTTTATCACTTCTCTTTTAAACTACCCACGCCTGATCAGCTGTGCGTTGCTTTCATAGCTACCGCTGCAGATATGTAAAGCTGTTAGGGGATATCTGACTAACTGTGTTCATATCTGACCTCATATAAAACTGTGCATGAGGCAAAAGGAGATCTTTACTGGATGTGAAACAAAAATGTAAATCATAACCCCTTGGCTTTAAAAAGCAAAAGAAGGAAACAAAATTGCAATTAAATCAGACCCTCGTTCTTTAGCAGCAGCCTCGTATTAAAGGGACACGAAGAAGTATTTTAGAACAATAATATTTGACATCTTAAACTTTGATTGAACACTTCCTATCTCTCTTCAAATAAAACTTGCGTCGGATTAACTGTTAGGTGTTTGAGAAGAAAATAGTGTTCTTGAAATGTGAATACTTTGGAAACAAGGAGGAAAAGTGATGAAAGTAGTGTTATGAAACCATGACATTTAGCATCATCTTTGGACTTAAACGGGGACATCTCAAATCTGTTAATCTATTAAAGATGTTTAAAATTGTGAAATGTTCTAATTTACAGTTCTTAGTTCTTATTCAGTTCTTTGGGATCTACTTTCTTTTTCAGAATGGGGGTCCTCCAATGGGAGCCCCAGGGGCCCTAATTAGCGGCTTGGCTTGTTTATTCCTCAGGCTGGCTGTGGAATAAACCTGGATGGCTCGTTTTTAGTCGGACAGGCTCAGCACTCATTGTCTCTTTTAGAGACGGTCTGTTCTCATGGTTATTTCCTGCTCCCCAATGCTTCTTTTCATTCATCCATCAAGCAGAGAAGTTGCCAGGAAACGAGAGTTATTGATTCCAGACAGTAGTCTGTAGCTCAGGTAATAATATTTAGACAACATAGTGATGTAAACTAGGGCTGCAGTTAACGATTATTTTGCACATCCATTAATATTTTGATTATTTTTAAAAAAATACATTGATTAATAATCAGATAGCAACAGGTTTCTTAAAGAAGATTTTTACAGAATTTAAACCAAGTGAAACCAACATTTTTCTACTTGTGGATTACTGGATAGAGAATATTGACAGATGAAAAAGTTTTTTTTAATCTTAAATACAAAATATTGATTTTTTTTTCTTTTTTAATATTTTGGTATAGTTACTGCTTTAAGTGGGTCGCTGCTTTAAGTGGGTCGCAGCTAAAAGCATATTTTAGAGTCTCTACACTCCAGTTAACAATTAATCTATTACTAAATTAGTTGACTATTATTTCAATAATCAATTAATCACGATTAATCTGATCAATTGTTTCATCCCAAATATAAAGAAAATATTTTAGAAAATATACTAGTATAAAAAAGTAATGTAAATATTATAGTTATGCAAAATAATATAAAAGTATGCTAATTAATGAATAGTGTTGCACTGATATGGATACCAATATTGAACAGAGCCCCGATCCAACACTAAAATGGTGGTATCGGTATCGGCGAGTACCAACAAATAGAGCACCGATACCATTTTGAGAGCCAAAGTTTATTCAACTATTGTCACCCAT